CGTTCAAATCGGCATTGAGTCAGATTTGTGTTTTAAAAAAATGGCATTGGATCTAATGTCGATCTAGCCTAAAATAGGTACTCTACTAGGTAAATTTATGGGAAGTAAATGCGATCACATTGCCCAAATTGTGCTGACTGGTCTACCAGAATAAACGTCTAGTATCATATGTGTCCAGCCCAATGTGCCACTGGCTTGAAAAATGTGCTTTACTTATTTTACTTAAATACAGTATAAGATGGATTTGTAATGGACGCGGTCGAAACAACAGTGGCAAATCAGGAAAGCTCTATTTAAAGGCCATATCTAGTTTAAAAACATTGTCCACATTTTCTGCTTATACTATTACGCTGAATCAATCTCTTCAGACTCTATCTGCTTTTTTTGCACATTATACATGACCGCAAACAGTTTCACCTTTTCTGCCTTATCATACAGTAGCTAACCATCCAAGAGCAGCAGTATATCATCTGCTTATTACCCTGCGAACCAGAATATGTTGTCTCCACCACCCTCTTACCCCCTCCCTCTGAACAAAAAAAAAAAAAAACATCAATAATCTGACACTGGTTCGAGTCTCATCGAGCCGCTCTACGCGTAGGACCACCGGTTTCTGTTTTTCAAAGTCATAGGCAGTGTCACCAAATGAAGGGGTCGCGTAAAGTAACAAAACCACTTCCATGCCGAACTATATAGGCTTAGGGTGATGATCGTAGCTTTTGTTGTGTTTTATAGTCACTGTAGTTTTTCGCCAGATTGAAAACCAATGTAACTGGCAGTGACTCAGATAGATGCATTGCTTAAGAGGTTCTATGTAATTAACGTACTTATGCCATTTTCTCCAAGGTAAGAACAGGCAGATAAATGACTGTCTCTGCACCACTTGGAGGTGAATTTACGCAGGCCAAGCTAAATGCTGTAGGTGCTTTTTCGGAGGAGGCTGACCAGGTAACCAGGACCAATTATTGTTTAATCACCAACTTTAGCGATTCAAATTCAGGACAACCAGACGAGCAAGAAAAAGTGCTTGCCACTCAGCCACCATGTCTACAATTCACTGGAGAGCGCGTTAATACGAGAAACGACGTACGATAGGCCATTTGCACATAAGACTAAATAAAATCAGCTGGTTAGAAGAGCACTTTCACACACAAGCATGTTTCCATACATAGAGTAACTTTTTGTTGAACACTTGTTATCTTTCACACACAAAGCTGTCTGCAAACATGAAGCCCTCAGTGAAACGTGTACTTTCTCACACCAGCTCACCTCCACATACAGCGAAACACTTTTTTAGAAAGTGCATTTTCACAAATAAGCTTCCAGCAGTTCCTTATCAGATAGTTCAGTTTCTTCCAAAAACAGAGAAACCTTTTGTTAAAAGGGAACTTTCACACACAACCTCAAACCGTTGTTTCAAGTATGAACGTTTACACACATGCTTGTACCGAACCCTCTGTTAGACAAGCGCCCTTTCACCCACACATAAGCTTGCATCCAAACTCCTTGTTGGAAAATACCTTCACACACAACCTTGCACTTAACCCTTTGTTAGTCAAGCTCATCTAACACACACACACACACGCTTGCATCCAAACTACTTGTTGGAAAGTACCTTCACACACAACCTTGTACTTAACCCTTTGTTATTCAAGCTCATCCCCCCCAACACACATACGCACAATCTTGCAGCCAACGCCCCCCCCCCCCCTCCTCGGTCCCCTTTTCATTGGGAAAGTGTGCCTTCATACACAACTTTGCACTCAACACTTTATTAGACAAGCTCCCTTTCACACACACAAGCTTGCTTCAAACCCCTTGTTGGAAAGTGAAACTTCATATATAACCTTGCACCCAACCCTCTGTTAGACAGGCTCACTTTCCCACACGCAGGCTTGCATCCAAACGCCTTGTTGGAAAATATATCTTCACACACAACCTTGCACTTAATCCTTTGTTAGACAATCGCACTTTCACACAAGCAGTTTTGCATCCAAACGCCTTGTTAGAAAATGTATTTTCACACACAACCTTGCACTTAATCCTATGTTAGACAATCGCACTTTCACACACAAGTTCACATTTTAACCTCTTGTAAAAAGTGCACTTTCACACGCAACCTTGCTTGCAAACACACAACCGATCTGCTGCACGACAACTTTCATGAGCTGTCTGTCGGAAACCTGTCATGGGTAAGAAGCTTGAGCAATTTCTGTCTTTCCCCAGCTTTGATAAAAAAAAAAAGCAGTTTATCCAGGAGATTACACAGTTCAAGGCCAGTCCGCAGGACGGCTACTCGATATTTACAGTTAAGAGATCGTTGTGAAGATGGCGTCATTTTTGTGTTGTCATCGATGTCATTGTTATCATTAACACCGTCATCGTCATTACCATCATCATCAGCAGCAGTATCTATCATCACCATAATCTTTATCATTATCCTAAAATCATCATCATCACCAGTATCACATAATCATCATCATCATCATCAGCTATCATA